AAAAAAGGCCTGTGCTTACAATTTACGTGTGAGTAGTATTCAAGATAAGATTTCAGATTTTTTCTCTTATATATTTCTCTATTCTGATTCTTTCTAATCCTTTAACTCTTAAAATATTTTTATAGATATAAATCAGATGAATTTGAAAAGACACTTGATTTGGCAAATGAAACATCCGGTTATGCATTAACAGGAGCAATGTAAAAAAAATTCTCATTACAATAAATACATCATTAAAAAAAAAATATCAAATATTAATTTATTTATTTCTCCATAAACATTTTAATTAGTTTTGCACAAGATCGTTCAGTAATTGTGAAGGCAGAAAACAAATTACGATACGCATCTGGTAATTTCTATATTAATGATAAATCTACTGGTGCTATAGTAGGTCAACAACCTTTTGGTGGCGCACGTGCATCTGGAACAAATGATAAAGCCGGAAGTCATACTTTGGTATTTAGTTTTTGGGGTGTAATTGTGATTTTTATTTCATAAATATATAAATATATATATATATATTTTATAATTAACTTTTTTCTTGTTTTTGCGAAAAATATAGTTGTATCGATTTCTTTCAATGCGTACTATCAAAGAAAATTTCATCAATATTGAAGATTTTACTTACCCATCAAATCTTACTTGATTAAAACAACCTTTTTTAGATATAATTCATAATATTAATTTATTAAATGTATTAGAAAATACTTTATTAAATATATAATTCATTATAATATTAATTTATTAAATGTATTAAAATAATTTATTAAATAATAATAATAAATTTTAATTTATTTTATTTTCCGATAAAAAAGGAGCAACTGCAGCAAACCCACAATCACTAAAAATTATGCGCTCGAGATACCCGTAATATTGTAACAGGGCAGCTGAAAATAGCCATAGAAGAGGGAGGAATGGGGTAATTGAACCTGATATTTTATTTAACTTGGTTAATAGCATGCCAAAACGTGTTAAAATGGTAGTTGAACAAAAGATGGGCATACTAAATATCAAAATTAATTTATGTCTCCATTAAATAAAGTGAATAATTAAAAATTGTCAAATTAAAAGACGTTTATAACAAATATCGCGACTACTTTTTTGTTCTATTGTAGATCAAGTGGGCTCTGCAAACTCAAAATATTTAGAATTAAAAAACAGTTATGCAAAGACGACTTCTTTAATTAATTAATAGTTTGTTTATTATTAAATCACCCTCCACGCATCAACGACACCTTATCGATACCTCAAAGGTCTAAACGCCAAAAATCAACTTCAACATTAAAAATGAATTCGAATTCTGACCTATTATTATTATTGGAAAATGGCCCACGGAATTTCGCTTTTTTAAAGCTCCTATTAACAGAGGTTGAAATACCAAAATATTCAACACAGTCTGGGATTGTAAAGTTCCAATCGGATTTGGTGGGATATTTTGCTTTACAAGCCAAATGTATAATTATAAACGTAAATTTTAGCAATTGTACCAGGAATAGAAAGCTCTACATCAACTCTTACGTGGGAACTCGCTACATGTACCAATATAATTTATTTAAATCAAGCAAAAATGCATACATATTTAAGAGTTTTTTTTACCTTCAGTGACAGCTAAATTAACAATTATGCAAAAATGATGATAGAATAAAGGTGATGCTTTCAAGATTTTGTTTTTTTCCTCAAATGGAATAATAACAAACGAATGTATTTTGATTTTTTAATTTATTTTTAAGAATTAATTTGCAGATGTGTCTATTTATAAAAATCTGTCTCATAGTTGCATTTTATTATTGACTATGTGAAGCGGTTTCATATTTCACATATTTCATAGCTTCATGATTTCTCGTGAAATTATGTATCGACAATAATAACAGCCAAACGTCATTTTAGTCAAAAGTGTTTTTCCGGTGAATTACTATTACGATCGGGATTTTATTAGTATTAATATTAAGGTTTAGCTTACCAGTCGTATGACATTTCACTTTTATTGATTTCTCTTAGAATATCATGTTGAAATTGTAAATCATCTATTTCTTCTATCAAAGAATCAAATTTGCTCGTTCGCTTCAATGATTAAATGTATTAAATAATAAATATGTAGTACACTTCCCACTCTCTCGATAACGGACCGAGAATTTAAGCCCATTTATATCTCCCATATTAATATATAAATTATTACTGTTTATAACGGATTCTTTATATTTTTTATCTTAATTATAATACTAATACTAATACTAAATATTAAAATGGCCGAGATGTAACGATCTGGTGGCCGTTGTCATTGGCCAAAATTTCAACCCCTGAAAATTTTAACGTACTATTACTAATTATTATTATAATGCTGACTGATACTAATACAAGTGTAATGATAACGTCAGAGTTGCTATTTATTTTATATATTATAGTCGGGGAAAAAATAATTCTTTGATTTTTTTCTTGATATAACCAACCATGGACTATGAATTTATAAAGAATGATAAAAAAAAAAAAAGAATTGGAATATTGACGAGTGGTGGTGATTCACCTGGAATGAATGCCGCTGTTAGATCAATAGTAAGAGTTGCTATTGCACGTGGATGTGAACCATATGCAATTTTTGAGGGTTATCAAGGTAATAACATGTACTGTATATACATGTATATATATATTAATATATTTATCATTTTTTTGAAGCATTTTTATGATTATATAAAAAAATTACGTTACAAATATAGGTTTGGTTCAAGGTGGCGACAAAATAAAAAAGTTTGGGTGGGGTGATGTTAGGGGTTATTTGGCAATAGTGAGTTGAGATTTTAATTAAATTTAAATTCTAAATTATGATTAAATAAAAATTATTGATTTCATTCCAAATTTTGTAAAATCATATATTATTAGGGTGGTACACTTATAAAAACTGCTCGTTGTAAAGAATTTCAAGAACGTGATGGCAGATTAAAAGCAGCATACAATTTGATTAAGAATGAAATAGATTCATTAATTGTGTGTGGAGGTGATGGTTCGTTGACTGGAGCAGATATTTTTAGATCAGAATGGCCTGGGTTGATAGAAGAATTGGTTAAATTGGGTAATAATAATCAATGATGAAATGTTATCTGATTCTTAGTAGCATTAATATTAAAATATAATAATTTCACTGGATAGGGAGAGTTACAAAGGAAGAGGCAGCATCTCATAATAATCTAACAATTGTAGGAATGGTTGGTTCAATTGATAATGATATGTCATCAACTGATCTGACCATTGGAGCTGTTACCTCGTTACATCGAATTTGTGAAGCTGTTGACTGCATTGCATCTACAGCATATAGTCATTCACGTGCTTTTATCATTGAAGTGATGGGAAGGAATTGTGGTTGGTTGGCATTAATGGCAGCAATTAGGTATTAAGAGATGTTTTTTTTTTTTATAATTTATGAGTGATTTTCAACTTATTTTGGCATAAATTCATCAAAATATATTTTGAATTATAAAATAAATTATATAGTACCAATTCAGATTTTGTTTTTATTCCTGAAAGTCCACCATCATCAGATAATTGGGAAGAAGAAATGTGTCAAGTTATTAAAAATGTATATAAATATATTAGTTTTTTTTTTGTAAAATGGATTTAAATTATTATTAATTTAAAGTTAATGCATATTCCTAGCATCGTAATCTTGGAAAATTTAGAACTATCGTGATTGTTGGAGAGGGAGCTATTGATAAAAACTTGCAACCAATAAAAGCTGATTACATCAAAGATCTTTTAAAAAATAATATGGGTCTTGATACCAGAGTTACAACATTGGGTCATATACAACGTGGTGGAAGACCATGTGTCTTTGATAGAAATCTTGTAAGTAATAAGTAATTTATATCAATATATGAATTTATCATTATTAAAAAAAAACTTTTTTTTTAAAAAAAAGGCAACTTTACAAGGTTATGAAGCAGTAAAAGCAATTCTTAATGCAACGCCTGATAGTGAATCACCTATGATTGGAATTAAAAAAAATAAGATTACATGTGAACCTTTAATGAAAGCAGTTAAATTAGTATGTGATGATGCTTATATGAATCATTTATTTATTTATTATAAATCTATTTATTTATTTATTTATTTTGTTCAGACACACCAAATTGCAAAGGCTGTTGAAAAAAAGGATTTTAAACAAGCTATGGAATTACGTGATTCAGAATTTATCGATGCTTTTGATGTATACAAAGCAGTCATATTCACTGATGGCTATGCATCTAAATTAGAAGAATCTAAGGTTCAATTAACTGTCAATAAAATTTCTTATTTATATTAATATTTTCTAATTTTTCTCATGTATTTTTAGCGTCTTCGTATTGGAATAATCCATGTTGGTGCGCCAGCTAGTGGAATGAATGCAGCAACAGCCGCAGCTGTTCGATATGCACTTAATCGAGGTCATATTCCTGTTGCAATATTTAATAGTTTCAAGGGTCTTTTAGAAGACAACCTCCGAGAATTTTCTTGGATAGATGTTGATGGTTGGACTCCTAAAGGTGGCTCAGAACTTGGCACCAATCGAAGTGAACCTGATACAGATATTGGAATGGTGGCATTCCAATTTCAAAAACACAGAATTGATGCTTTACTCTTGATTGGAGGTTTTGAAGCTTACAGCTCGCTTATCAAATTGAATAATGCTCGGAATATTTATCCAGCATTTTGTATTCCAATGATTTGTTTGCCTGCTACCATATCAAACAATGTTCCTGGCACAGATTATTCCTTGGGCAGTGATACGAGTTTAAATACTATAGTTGACTGTTGTGATACAATCAAACAATCTGCCTCTGCTTCCAGAAGAAGAGTTTTTGTGGTTGAATTACATGGTGGTTATTGTGGTTATTTGACAGTTTTGGCCGGACTTGCGGTAAATGCATTATTATAATTATTTTAACTTTTTTCCAGATCAAAATAAATAAATGTATGTTTTTATAAATGTTATATATATATGTGTGTATTTGTAAATGTATAGGTTGGAGCAACAAGTACATACATTCCAGAAGTAGGATTATCTTTAAAGACTCTTCAATCGGATGTTGATCATTTGAATAGAAGATTTAGTGAAGATAAAAAAGGTGCAGGTTCAGGACGTTTAATTCTCAGGTAAAATACTTTGCTTCATAATTATGGAATATACAATTATTATTATTTTTAATTATTTACCATTTATTTAATATAGAAATGAATGTGTGTCTACTACCTATACAACAAATGTAATAGCTGATATTATTCAAACTGAAGCTCATGGACTATTTGATTCCAGAACAAGTATTTTAGGTCACATTCAGCAAGGTGCTACTCCATCACCTTTAGATCGTATTCGAGCAATTAAACTTGCAGTAATGTGTGTTAAATTCTTGGAGAATCATGCATTTTCTTCAACTTCTACCGTTACTGCTACATCAAAAAAGTTATTATCACCATCATCACATTTACTGCCACCTCAAACTTCCATTGCAAAACCAAGGGTTTACACCAATGTTAAAGAATCTGCTGCTGTGATTGGAATTGATGGTGAACATGTCGTTTATCGGGTGAAAATTTTGTTTTATTTTATATTTTTTGTTTCACAGGATAAAAACGATATTTAACAATTAATATTTTTAACATAAATATATATATTTGTAT